TGTATTAGTGTACGACTCGCACATCCAAATCTATAACGTCGTATAATTATCGATTACGCGTAATATGTTCGTATATTCACGAATCGCATATCCAAATTGAAAGACGTATAATTTAGGACTATCCGTCGTTTCGCCGATCCATGTTACAAATCTCATATCCGTCGAAAATATTTTGCATATTATTTGCATAACTTACGCCCGCTATGTTTGTCTGGCTTTTCACGTAGAAACTTAGAGCAATGACATGTACTTATTCATTAGTAGATTTGATGAATATCTACCACCACTATTACAACTAACTAATTGTAAGATTTAAATGTTAAATCTATAATTAACCTTCACTTCTCTAAACTGAAAAAAAATGCGCACATTTGCCAAAAAAAAAAAAAATGGTAGGACTTCATGCAATAAGAACTAAGAAGATTGTCCACTTTCGTGGCATGGAGTGGACCAAGAGTGAGGAAGATGATTGCTACCGAATAATTTTCAAGAAGTTCGTTAGATAGCAAACATACACCAAAACCTTGTGTTCAATTCCTTGTTACCAAGAACCGCATGTATACTGAATCGAGTGATGGGTTATCATTTCAAGAAGGAGTATCCTACTGCACAAGTCTAGAGAAAAATTCACCATCTTAGAAACTATTTTGATGAATTTTCAAGGTTTTTAATGATACCAGGTGTTTGAGTAAGTGGTGATGTTGGTCTTGTTAGTATTAACCATATGTACTAGTTGTATATTGGGAAGGAGGTGAATCAATTTTTTATTTTTGTTTGTTCATGCATTTTTGAAACCTGATACTAACAACAAAAATTTAAATTTAATACACAAGAGACTGATGCTCAAAAATTTTTGTTGGTACGCATTCTATTGGTATCGTGAGTGTTTCAAAGGCTTTTACCGAGCGCAATGCAACGACGATCGACTTGGAGGGCAGGCGGCAGGCCTAGTGTTTCAGCTGACGACCTAATCTTAGGGGGAAGGGGTGGCATGCGTCATATTTACCAGCATTTTATAGTTATTTTTGTGCCCGTTTCGTTGTAGTTTAATAATTATTTAATTAATTATTTATTTAATTATTTTTATTAAACTATTATGAAGTGTGTTATTTTGAGTTTTAATAGGAAATAGGTCGAATTAATTTTTGGAGTCGAAAACAGCGTGAAACGGACATAAAAGGAGTACTAGCCACGCATTGGAAAAGGCCCAAGTACACACAACCACAAGAGCAACATGATAGCCCATTTTATTTGGTTTATTGGGCCGAAAAATTAGTCCTTGAGGTCCATAAAAGCAGCCCAAAACAACATGGCCAAACATCATATTAATAGAGGGTATAGAGGTCATTTCACTAGGAAATACTCCATCATCTTCGTTCTCCTTCTCCACACCATGTTCTCCATTTGCAGCGGCTGTGACTCCATCGTCTCGCCATCACGCCGCTGAACAGGCACCAGAGAGCCACATTTCCGACATCCTGGCCACCTCACTATTTGTCGTTGTCATCCCTTCATTGAAAAGTTGTTGTTCGCTGCACTCACGGAGGGTGACGGAGCTGCCAGAAAAAGTACAGAGTGCTCTTTCCGACGACCTGGGGCCGGCCGAGACAACTAGAGCACTACTGGCCGACTTGATTTTAAAACGTGGAGAAAGTACTTGTTTCAGGCTCCCAGGTGGAAGACACTGGGGTTGACGGGTACGGTCCCACGGACATGAAGCGCACCAAAGTAGGGTGAGCCTAGACGGACCTTAGTGGGGTTCCATCCTAAAACCAATTGGTGGTAGGAGGAGTAGCCACTAGGCTTATAAGTTAAGCCTATTTTCTCTGTATAGACGATGTGGGACAACTCACAAGTGTATATTTTAACACGCCACCTCACTTGTGAGTCCTTCATATGAGTCCCAAACCCAACTGGGCTGGGTGACAGGTACGTCATTACACGGTCCCACGTAGGCTCAAGCCCAACTGGGATGGGTGAACGAGCTCTGATACTATGAAGAAACGGGGGTTGACAGGTGTGGTCCCATGGACGTGAAGCGCACCAAAGCATGTTGAGGCTAGATGGGCCTTAGTGGTGTTTCATCCTAAAACCAATTGGTGGTAGTAAGAGTAGCCCACTAGACTTATAAATTAGGCCTATTTTCCCTGTATAGACGATGTGGGACAACTCATAAGTGCATATTCTAACACGCCCATCACTTGTGAGTCCTTCATATGAGGCCCAAACCCAACTGGGTCGGGTGACGGGTACGTCATTGCACGGTCCCACGTAGGCCCAAGCCCAATTGGGCTGGGTTAACCAGCTCTGATACCATGAAGAAACGTGGGTTGACGGGTGCAGTCCCACAGACGTGAAGCGCACCAAAATAGGGTGAGCCTAGATGGGCATTAGTGGGGTTCCTTCCTTAAACCAATTGATGGTAGGAGGGCGTCCTCGTACATCCCCAAAAGGATATTTAGTCACTCATTCCAATACCTCTTCACTGCAATAAACAATGAGGCCGAGTACAGGTCGCTTCTGTCGAGGTTGGCTTTGGCAGAATCGATGAACTTAACCAACCTGGTGATCTGCTCCGACTCAATGCTAGTGGTCAAACAAGTCTCTTGAGAGTACATGATCAAAGAGTCGAGACTAATCCCATACCTTGGCCTCATGAAGAAAAAGATGGGCAAGTTCCATGTTCGAATGGAGCATATTTCCCATCGAAAAATGTATAGGGGATGCCTTAACCAGGCTAGCTTCAAGCGCGGGCATGGAAAACATTGAGTATGTCTAGGTCTGACGAAAAGAACAATCTTCAGTGACCGAAAACTTAATTTTAATGCCAAGCCGACCACCAAAGTGGTGGATCCTATGTGGATGCATCTGATCAGGTCGTACCTCAAGACAGGTGTGTTGCCGTCTAACCCAACGGAGGCCAGACAGCTCCGCACTCGAAATGCTCGGTTCACGATCATCGCTGGCGAGATATATAAACGTGGGTAGTCAGCACCCTTGTTGAAAATTTTGAGTGAGAAGGAATCACATACGTAATAAAGGAAATCCACGAGCGCGTTTGTGGAAATCACTCTAGAGGGTATGTTCTTGTTCAAAAAGTTTCGAGGCAAGGTTATTATTGGTTGAATCTAAAAAAAGATGGCTTAGAACTTGTTCAGAGGTGCGAAAAATTCCAAGTGTCTGCACCCAATATCAATTAACCTTTGTAGCCCTTAAAAATCAGTTTTCAGCCCCTGGTCCTTTTGCAAAGTGGGGAGTGGACCTGACCGACCCATTACCGACCGGGTAGAGAGGAGTCAAATACGCCTTCCTGGCCATCGACAAATCCACTAAATGGACGGTCACCGATCCCTTAGCCATGATAATCGAGCAAAAAATTATCGACTTTCTATAGAAGCCCATAACATGTTGGTTTGGAGTCCCAAATTCGGTTATAACTAACAGTGGGAGCCAATTTGAAGAAAAACGATTACAATCATTCTGTGATGAACTTGACAATAAGACCTATTTCTCCACTCCCTATCATCCTCAGTCTAATGGCCAGTTCGAAGCCATAAATAAAATTATCAAACAGGGGCTCAAAGTACGACTTGAATCGGCGAAAGGAACCCGGCCAGACGAATTAGCGAATGTATCATGATCGTACTGTACCACGACGAGAATTCGGAGGATCTGTAGGCAAGTTGTCGAGCCGACTTAGAGTTTGTTACTAATTTCTAAGACACTTCCTCCAACTGAAAAAAGATACCAACTTCTTAGCACAAGAGAAACAAGAATTGGATGCTGAGATAAAGGAAACAAGAAAAAACGTACATTTTCCATTTATGAACTTAACGGGCATACTGGGAGTGCCTGTCGCTGCTCCGACCGCAACCACGTTGGAAGTCTCTGATTTGTCTCCGACCCAGAACCACTCTCTCTGGAAGCCGTGCAGTGTGTCAGGTAGTTTATGAATCAGACCCTTATCCAATCCCTGGTCAAACGGAATAATAGTAACATCCGGATTTTTTACCCGTCTCCTTGAAAATAAAAACAACCTGGAAGTCTCCAAGCGTGGGATCTGGCCGCCCCCTTTTGTCGGAACATGACGATTAGGCTTATCACCTTGGCCTAAGCGACATGCGAGATCTGGCTAAAGTCGACCCCAACCTCTCGGATAACCTCCTTGAGGATGTCGGGCAGTGGGAATCAGATACCCATGGTCATGGTCTTCTTGAATATGCCTATACAACCCCTCAGAGGATTGTGGATCCTCTCAATGGGGTAAGGTGCAAATATCTGAACCGACAGAAGGATTCTCATCAATTCCCTCAGCGCGAAGACGTCGACCTCCGTCATCAACGAGGTCGTATTGCCTACGATCTGCCTGCTGTCCATCGAACATACCCGGATAGGTCAGCGCCAAAATCCATTGGGCACAAGCGCAACATCTTCCAAGGTCTGGTCGGCCTAATAATCCCCCCTGACCAGAAGGAGTCGTTCGCGACCATATGTGTTCTCTTGGAGAGTCTCATCCACTAAGTCCATGTCAACTTCCTCGTTGTAGTATAAGTCAAGGTTTTCGTTTAAATCTAGGCCACTCAACATACGCGGTGGTGACATCACCCTATCCTCTGTTGTCTTCGCCGTCTCCATCTACGTCATCACCTCCTCCACCGATGTCTCTGTAGCAGCCTCCAACGTGAATACATTACCATCGGGCCAGCGCCGGAAACTGAAGCGGCCGCCTCGTTGCCGGAGAGACCCAAAATCAACCACACAGTACGGCGAAATCGACATTTTTACCGTTTAAAAGAAAATTAAGAATATAAAAAAGGAGGAATTACCAAAAATGAGACTTGTAGAAGCTCGAGAAGCACAACAATGGCAGACAAAGAACTCTTTCTCAAGAAGGCAAAAAGCACAATGTTTTTGCAAAAGTGAAAAATCCTCTCAAGAGATGCGGATACCTATTTATAAAGAGAGATGTCCAGTCATGAAATGCCACATTTTAAAGAAGAGATGTCCAGTCATGAAACGCCACATTTTAAAGAAAGCGGGCCCACCGAACAGTTAACTGTCTTAATTCAAAATTTGAAAAACAAACCTTTCAAATTAAAAAAAAAATCCCAAAAATGAAATTGATAGTCAGATAAAGCACCACTTGCCAAAAGTTAAAATCGGCACACCTTTTGAGGAAGGAGAGAAGAATCCGGACACACCTCATTATAGGAAGACGCTTAATATGTCATCATTAATGTTTTGGGGATACATGCCGATTGAGAAGCATGCACCATATCGATGAGGGACTCCAGCCAACTCGGGTTTGTTCTTTTTGTTGACGACTCGGAAGAAATGTCCCAACCCTTCCATCCAAGCTCGGGGTTTTATTTGTTGACATCTGAGTTGAGAAGCTGGATTCAGAGTTTGTAAACTAAAATAGAGGAAATCAAACTAAGTACGAAAAACATAATCCCAGCTCGGATCCCCGTTCAACATTCAGGTCGGCTTTTCAGAATTAAGGTTAATCCATAAATGAGTATAGAAAATCACGCCGATAATTCGACCACAAGGCATCGCCGAGGCCGGAGCTCAAAGGCGCATTGTGAAGAAAGAAATGTTATAATTTTGCCACTTACAACCCAATGATGACCGATGGGACGCACCCACCTGCTCTGCAAGCCTACGTTGTCATTCCACATTTAATATCTGATGTAACCCGATGAAAAGTAACCAGAACTATCTTACTATAAATAGTCATAGGAATCAATTAAGAATGGAAAAAAAATCTTTGTAATAAAGATATAAATTCTCTCAATAATTAACGCATTAAATAGCGAGCATCTGAGCTCAACGGTAAAAGTCCGATCTCATCTCCACTTATTTTCTGCCACGCTCAACCGTAAAACTCCGATCTCATTTCCACTTATTTTCTGCCACATTCAACATCGTGTAACTTAATTACTAATACAAATTCGGTATTATCGTTTGATTAAATCCGTTGATCAACATATATAATAATTCTCAACAAGACCTCTCTTCAACCCCACATCAAAGAAAAAACGAGAAAGCAACAAAGAATATATATATATAAAAAAAAAAAAAGGTTGTGGTGTGTAAAACCGCGTACAAGTACAAGAGTGTGGGTAGTGTAGTGGCACCATGTGACTATCTCTACTACACACTCTATTTCCCCATTAAAAGCTTCCATCAGTTTGGCTCAAAAACTTGCCCTTTTCACACACCTCCCCCCTAATAAATGCCCTTTTGTATCCCAGATCTAATTTGAGCCCTCTTTATATAATCTTGGCTCACCACACACACACACACACAAACAAAGAAAAAAGAAACAAGAAAAAACATGACTCCACTCCAAGACTCTCGTCTGAAGAAGCTACTTTTTCTCTATGTTTTCACACTCCTTTTCATCACTCCACCCCTCCTCACTTCTGCCAATCACCACCAAAATCAGCCAAGCAGAAGTCTAATGGAGTTGGAAGAGAATGAAGATCCGCCAATCCCCAAAAAGGCCAAGAAACTCTCCACCAATAGCAACCAAACCAAGCTCCTCAAGCCCACCTCCAATTCATCCCAGAACAAAAACAAGTCCATCAAGATCTCCTCCACCGATTCCGCCTCCAAGTCGTCCAACAAGACCAAGCCCATCATCAAGACGAGCCTAACGGAACACCCTGCGCCGCCGGCCACCGCCAAATCGAACCTCAAGAAACTCAACTCCACCTCCAAATCGAATTCGACTTCTCTCCTAACCAAGAAAACCTCAGATCTATCCTCACCCAAGAACAAAACCTCCAAGCCCACCACTACCAGCAAAGAGACAAAAACAAAAACCCATCTGGAAACCACTCAGCCCAAATCCGACAAGGCCCAGAAAAAGCAGCCCAGCTGGATCGACGACGACGACGACGACGATTTGGTCGCCGGATTCAGGGATCTCCCGACGAAATTTCAAGAATCAATTGTCCCAGATTTGGAAAGAATCTCAAAGACATCACAAATTTACCTCAACAAATACAACAAAGAGTTCACAAAGGGATATATTAAGCCTTACTTTGGCACCAAATACGCGTCCGCCATAGCCTCATTAGTCTCGTTCGCTTTCGTTTTGATCCCCTTGATTATCGTCTCCCTCATCTTCAGCAAAATCAAAGCTTATTTTTCGCTTCAAAAGCTCTTGATTCTCGTCCAGGCTTATTTAGCTATTTATTTCACCATCCTCTGCTTGTCCGCCTTGGCGACGGGGCTCGAGCCGCTGAGGTTCTTCTTCGCGACGTCGCCGTCCACCTACGTGGGCGTGCAGGTGCTGCAGACGCTGGCTTATGTGTTGTACCTGCTGATTCTGTTGATGTACCTCATACTGGTGTTCTCTACCGAGACCGGGCTGGCGACGAAGGTGTTGGGCCTGGGCCAGACGCTCGTGGGCTTCGCGGTTGGGCTTCATTACTACATGACGGTGTTTCACAGGGCCGTGCTGCACCAGCCGCCCAAGAGTAGCTGGCGGGTGCACGCGCTCTATGCCACGTGTTTCCTTGTGATTTGTCTATTGGGTAGAGTGGATCGTCAGAAGAAGACTTATTTGGAAGAGGGAGGCGAGGAGGGTAAAAAGAGTTAAAAAAAAAAAAAAGGAAAAGGGAATAGGATTTTTTTCCTTATTTTATTACCTTTAAATTAAATGTTTTATGAACTGTACTTTTTTGGGAAAATTGTAATTTATTATGATTATATTAATCATAGCAATAAGGGTTTAATTTCAGTTTATATTGCCCAAGTCAAGAAGATGTGTTGATATTGCCTCCTTGACTTGTGTCCTGCGTATATTCCCTTTTGATAGCGTAATAATTACCTTTTTGAGCTGTTATATTTACGTACCTAGCTTTTTGAAAAATTATCTGCGGGTAAATTTTTGGTATCTATTACTATATAATAAGGACAGAAATTCTATGGAGCCATCAGATGGTTTTCTTATTGAGCCATCCATGACTTAGGCCTCGTTTGGCGATCAGCGGATAGCGGATTGTATTAGCGGATAGCGGATTATATTAGCTGATTTGACTAGCGGATTGCATTAGCGGTTTTTAAATAAGTGTTTGGTAAATAGCTGAAAGTTTGTAGTTGTTTGACATTGCAAATTACCAATAAAGACATTTTATTATTTAGGGTGTATTCTTTTAATAAAAATATATTAAAACATTTAATATTTTTTAGTTGGTAATTTATAAATATATTTTTTTCAAAAAACAAATTTACTAACAATTGATTAAGAAGTTATGAATTTTACATTTTTCTAGATAAATTAATCATATGGATGACATATTATTATTTGTTAGCATCATAAACAAATGTTGATTGTAAATAAATAATACAAATTAAAAAGTTCTAAATTAAAATTGAAGATTGTGAATCCTCTATCCCAAAAAGCTCCTCTAATGAGCTTTTTCTAAATTAGAGTTTTGGGCCTAAAAAGCTTATCAAATAAGCTATTTACCAAACAAGCTCAATAGCGGATTTGACGGGTCAAACCTCTCAATTAAGTCAAATCCGCTAATCTATCCTCAATCCGCTGTTTTCCAAACGGGGCCTTAGTGTATTGACACTTGTCCAAAGTGCATTTATTGTAGAACACGTGTCAATACCCTATTTGTGAATAACTGTGGATGACTCCATAAGCCGAGTCATCCGATGGCTCCATAGCAAAACTGATAATAAGGATTAACTTAATTAATTTTTATAAACTATTTCCCGCCAAAAACATTAATTACTGTCTATACATAGTAATTTAACATAATTTTATAAAATCACTCTTAATTATCCTCAATTAACATTACTTTTTGTATGGAATGAATTAAAAATCATTTTTTCACTCTATTAAATATGGAATAACAGCAATTGCACATAATTTAGAACGTACATAGTCATTTTTGTGGTTGTATTAACAAAACAAGCATTAATTGCACATAATTTCCTAAAATCGCTCTTATTTATTTCTGATTAACAACAATTGTTTATGGAATAAATCATTATTTCACGTCAAGATTTCCGATTTTTTGTGGCTAGATTAACATAACATCGAGCATTAATTGCAATAGATATATACTATGGAATATATCTCCTATTTTCGGTACAATGTCTATTTTCGGTACTATAGATATATAAATCATTTATATGATAAAATCACAACAATATCTTTTTATTTAAATAATTTTCATCAATCACTTTTTTCGGTACCAACGTATATAAAAGGATATTCACTACACAATTATTTCTTCACCTTATTCACAGTGTTCAGAGAAAAAAAAATTATACTGAAAAATTTTAGAATACAACAATAATATCATGGCGTCGGTCTGAGATACACTCAATTCCGTGAGTAGGACAAACAAACCTTATTTGCGATTGAAAGCAGTCCGAATTTTTGAAACGCATCACGAACGAGAGAGCTGGAACGTATTTCATATACTGTTCATAATGAACATGTAAATATTTTCATTAGTAATATCAAATTTAAAAATTTATTTTTATTAGTATTCCGCATAATTTATTTTTTTGTGAAAAAATATTTTAATTAATATTTATAAATTTATTTTGTAGGGTGCATTTATTAAAGGCATAATACGTTCTACAAAATTGTTTTATTGTCATTCCATGTCGATGAATTATGAATTTTATTGTTATTATATTTGTTATCGTGAGATGACGTCTCTCATTCATTTCGATTAATGATTTATATGGACACGCTTGAATTATTGAGTTCCAATTGTTGTTTAAATTATAATATTGAATTCTTTTTTTTCTTTTATGTGCTTAAAAAAATTAAACTTAATCAATTAATTAATCAATTAAATAATATAATTAAATAATATAATAATACATTTGGAGATTCATTTCTATAAATCATTTATATAAATTATTTAATTGTGTTTCTATAAATTGTGTTTCTATAATCAATTAATAATTTGTTCGTGTATAAAATTTTGTTTCTATAATAAATTGTATTACTTAATTGTGTATATATAAAGATTAAGTTTAATGACGTACATCAATTATTATCATGAATTAAAAATGTTTCTATATATTCAATTAAAACTCTACATATATTACTAGATATATATATATATATATATATAATCGTTGAGTTTAAAAATATATTTAAAAAAACTCTATAAAATGCGTTTTTATAGATACCCAAATATATAATCGTTTAGTTTATTATGTGTATAAAAATTAAGCTCAATACGAACCCAACAATACAGATACCATAAATGCGATTTTTCTTTATTCAACACGTTTTATACTTTCGCAGATTTAATACAAAAATAGTTTATATCTTCTACAAGATAATTCAAGCGTACAAATCCATAAGATACATTTTGTGGCCGCATAATTCAAGCGTACAAATCCAACAAAAAATAAATATTAATACTTCAATTCATCAATTAATTAAAGTTGGACTCTCATGTAAAGATTAGCATTCCTATTAAATACCCAAAATCCTATACCATCCAATTTTTATTCCCTTTCCATAATTTTGTAATTAAATCCACTCTCAACAATTAACTTATTTGGAATTAATATATATTAATTGATATATATATATATATATATATATATACATATATATATACCATATTTTACGAAGCTCTCTCCGCATGTTCTTGAATGTAGGATATTGACTGGAGATCACGCAGGTGAGAAGGTGTTGATTCCTCGGATGAGCATAACTCTTTCTGATGTTAGGGTTCCGTTTAAGTTCCAACGGAGACAATTTCCCCTTATGGTTTCCTATGTCATGACCATAAACAAGAGTCAGAGTCAGTCTTTATCACATGTTGGGTTGTTCTTGAAAAAACCTATTTTTAGTCATGGTCAGTTATACGTCGCTATTTCACGTGTTACTAATAGGAAGGGGTTGAAAATATTAGTTTGTGGGGACGATGAGTTACCCAGTAATCAAACTAATAACGTTGTATATAAGGAGGTTTTTAATAATGTATAATTTTTTACCAATGACGATTTTATATTTACTTTATAAATGTCATACATATTATAATAACTTATTAATTAATGACCTTTTAATTTTTTAAAAGGGTTAATTGCTAAATAAACCATAACCTTTTTGCGTTTGACAATTTTATCCCAATCTTTGGATAATTGCAATATAATCTCGACTTTAATTTACTTATTACAAATTTGGGTGCAGAGTGATTGAATTCAGGGATTTGTGGATCGATTTTGTGTCCAAGTCTTCCATGATTTTTATGCCATCCACGTAGCAAGTTGACAATTTCCACGTATTTAATGTATATCCACGCACAAAGCCGAAAATTCCACGTCAATCTAAGCTACCGGTGATGAGTTTCTTCCTAGATCTGGAGTGAACCGGGAAATATGAGCTCTGATCTGTTCGAACCGTCTTCAAATCGACCATTTTTTTAAAGGACCAACCGGTTTTAGGTTCGACTTGCAATAAGTAAATTGAGATCGAGATTATATTGCAATTACCCAAATATTGAGATAAAATTGTCAAACGCAAAAAGGTTAAGGTTTATTTAGAAATTAACCCTTTTTAAAATTTTCCAAAACATGTACTAGCCCGTGCATCGCACGGGTTACATACTAGTCATATATGATATCGTTCACAGAAAATAAATTCGGTTTAAACAACTATTTTACAAAATCTTTGCATGTGCACAAAACAAAGAATCTATACTTATATAAAAAGTCATCACATTTACTAGAATTAGTAGGATGAAAAATCAACTCATAAATAATTGCACACCATATTTAGAAAGTTTTAGATTTTTTAAATCATAAAATAGGGTAGCAATAAATGCTCCTAAAATTATGGATTTTGTTGAATTGATTTTTCAATAAAATCTGAGTCCAAATTTACGTGTGATTTTGAAGTGAAAATTTGAAATTCAAAATCTCTTCTCATTTTAGTTACAAGAAAATCGTACTGCATTCAACACTTGACCAATTTAAAAATTATTCCTTATTTAAGGAATTTATAGATAATTTTATCTCTACTCAATCACATGATTATTTTCAATATAAAAATAGACAGATTACAAATTAGTGAAACATATATTGCCTAATTCATTAATATCTTGACATTAAGGAATAAATCCATAGTATTATGTAAATCCGTATCTCATATTATTATATCATTAAGAATATATTATAGTTATATTGACAAATTATAAAAAAATATTAAATCTATATTATAAAAAAATTCATATGATTTTATAAAAATTCTATACATTATTAACTGTATTATTTTTATTATATAATAATATAATAATTAAATATTATATGGTGAAAAAGATTAAGTAAACTGTTACTTTCTCTTGATAACTTTATATGCTAAAATTAATTTTTTATTAGTATAAATATTTTAGTGAGATAATATATTAATTATTTACAAGCTAGCCCTAACATGTTCATATTTAATGTTCTAGAAATGTTTCCCTTCCCACGGTGGGCACATGTTAATTTGCACACCGTTTAGGTGGCATGCACTGATTGGTGATGTTAGTATGTTTAATAAATACATCACCAATGAGTGCATGCCACCTACGCGGTGGGCATATTAACATGTGCCCGCCGTGGGTA